GCTACAACTATTAAATTTGATATTTACCTTCCCCTAAAGTATAAAGTTCAGTATAAGGAACTCAACTTTTTATATACATTTCATTGCTGAATATAGAAAGTTAATTTTGCTTTTAATTAAATATATGTAGATATCCATGAATATAGTAGAAAGAGCGTTATTGTCATACTGCCAAAACAACTATGTTTAGTACACAAATCAATATTTTTCGCATGTAATTTATGAGCAAATTGTACCAGTAAAGGGGATCAACGAACAAGCTCTAAAACAGTATTCACTTTCAGTTAGTATAAATTAGAAAAAACTATAGCAAAGTCATTAGTATTGACTTTCTATTAGTCTACTACTTTCTATGGCTCAATTTTGGAAACTCAATTTGAATTGGTTCACGGTCGAATTGATTTGCAATTTGCAACTATTCAGAATACAACAAAGCCTCTCAAAGGACCGACTAATACATGCCGTAAGCCGCAGCATTGCGCCGCATGTGTCCTTAAAAAAAACGCAGCAGGCTTCCATTTGCGACAGGCTTTTGACGTCAATCACATACTTTCGACTGGAATTTTCAATTTGGTCCCCAACAAAGCGAAATGAAAAATTCACAAAAATAATTCAATTAACCGCAGTTTTGCATGCGCATAAAACGGCGTCAATAATTTTAATGACAAGCCAACAATTTGGCTTTATAGTGCGACATAAAGGCAATGGCAATGACTGAAGTTCAGGCTGCTGCACAATCGTTTGTGCCACATACAGGATGGCGGCGAAAATGTTAGAAATATATACGAGTCAATGCCATGATACATTTAGTCGAATTTGCCCCTGCACTTCGATCTTATTACAATTGCCGTGCAACAGGCAATTTAAGGGTCATTACAGACGTACGCTAGTTGGGGTTGGCCGGCAGCTGCCGACGCTATCTTGATTAATGGCGGAGAGCACGGCATATGTGCGAAAGTGTTGCCTACTTTCGGCGGCGGGCCGCGCACTTTGATTGTTAATTGTCGGCCATAAAACTTGCCAAAGCGCTCGCCAACACGCGACCGTCGAATAAATTGAAATAAAAATAGAATAAAAATAAAAATAATAAAACAACTGAAATCGGGGCAAAGTAAACATTTCAATTTGCTTTTGGGCAGCTCCAACTGCCAGAATTTCATGTAATTACGAGGCCTGTGCCCTGCCAAACGAACAGCAACAGCAGCAGCTTCAGAGCTCCTTGAGTCGTGAAAAATTGAATTTATAACAAGCAAAAGTTACATGTCCTTTGCTCCTTTCATCTCTCATACATCCTACTCACTCACATCAACGGCGTCTTTTTCTGCGTGGTGACTTTGTAGCAATTTAATGTGGCTCTTGTTGTTGCTGCTGCTATGATAAATGATATTGTGTTTTCTACCATGGTTGAAGCCAGTATAAGACACAGCACGCGGTAATTTGTCTGGCCTCCATCAAATAATTCCGCGCTCATGATTTCGCCTCTTTCACACGTTCCCCAAAATCAAAAACACGCACGCACGTATATCCACATGGACACTCACAGCCACCATCACACACATAAAGAAACAATTTGTAATGTAATTTATTTAAATATGTATAAGCCGAAATTTAATGCCCAACATCTAATTATTCATTTAAAGCAAATTCAATTCAATTTGTTAGGTACAAACATGGGATACGCAAAATGCTTTAATAATCGTTCGCAAAATGAAAATAAATATATAAAGTTATAGCTGCGCTCATTAGGGGCAACCTAAATCGGCCAATACTTATTTATATATTCAAGCTTAGAAAATTGAATATGTTCAAGAGCTTTAGACCTGAAACCAGCAAGTTTTGCGAAGCTTAGAGCTGTTTATCACCCGTTTATCGTTTATAATAATATGGTATGTTATTTCAGGCGTAATAAAATCGGAATCTGCTGCTTTAATGCTCCTAATATATATAATATAAATATATTATATCCTTTTCCTCAATGTTTAATTGAACTTTGCAGGCTCGGAAAATGAGGACTATAAATAGATGCCTCTGGTTTCGAAATATTCTATCTATCTTTGGAGGCGCCAGCCTTTCGCTGTCTATCTGAAATATGACTTTGATTTTGGCCTACAAATTTAAATGTTTTCATTAAAATTAACAGCACTGCAGATAATTGCACAAACAGGTATCAAAGATACTAGTACTCTTTATCCTTTGGGAACAAGCATTTAATTAAAGTTTAGTAATTCCAATGTAAATGCCAAATCATCTTTATTAATTTAAGTATCGATTGTGGAATGCCATTGAACTCCGACACTCTTATCATTGCTATGGATGCTCGATGCTGGATGGTGGACAGCTCCTGCCCATATTCCTGTCGCATATTAATGATGCTGCTGGTCAGCTTTTGTCTGCAGGTCATAAATTAATAACGCGTGTTAACAACTATATGTGTGTGTGTGAGTGTGTGTGTGTGTGTCGGTGTTTCTCTCTGTATACCAAACATTAATACGTTTGCGGAGCATTATGAACTGACTTATGAAGCATTGCCATTTCGAATTATCAAAATTAACAGTTACTGAGAGAATACTAAGTTAAATGCGTACCGACTGTTTTGCATATCCAAAACGAAAAGAGGCGTTAGCTGATGGGCGGCAGTGTAGGGCAATGAGCTAAGCTGGCTTCACTTATTTGTCATGCACGCCCCGAACAAGAAATTAAATTCAAATTCACTTTGCAATGCCTGTGGTGCAAATTGTAACAGCAACATCAACAAAGGAAGCCCACATCAGGACATGCCCACGGCCTACGGCTCATGATCCATGGCCCCTATCCCATGGCGGGCACACACAGTCGCACACACAACAAACAAAGCTGGCAGTTTTCTTAGGCTTTGAATATATTTAATTTTTTTTTGTTCTTGGTCTTGATTTAGCTTTTTAATCTCATTGAGGTGCACTGAAGCATGTGCCCATCTCCATTCTCTGCTTCCTAGGGGTTGACGATGACTCTGCTCCAGAGACATATGCAAATTATAGCTCTCTCTGAAGCTGCGTCATCTTCGGCATTTTGATGCCAGTTGAAGGGTTTTATGCTGACGCATATATGTAAGTCATTGTTTTTATAATGTCTAAATATGTATGCTAAAATGTATAAGTCGTGTTTTTCTGATTCACCTGATCAAACATTAGCTGAAGTGACTACATTGTTGTCGCCGCTTTCAATTTCGTGGGGCTGCTCAATAGCCCGTCAAAAACAGCAGAAAATCGTCTTCATTTATATCGCACCTTTCAACAAACACAAACTAACAATTGGCTAACAGCATTCCCCACTCTGCCTTTTACCGAATCCCCTGACAATTTGACCTTTTGCATTCCTTTCGACTGACAAATGGTCACGCCATTCCGCATCCCAGTTCAACCGAAATGAACAAACGTTTTATTGTTCGCTTGCAGCATTAACCTTTAAAAGAAAATCGTTGATTTCGCATTTATAAATATTTTTGCTACACTTTCTGCGAATTATTGTCCCTTTTTCATCTGCCGGCTGATTTGTTCAGGAAAGAATTAAGTTATGGCAAATTTCAATGGATTTTAATTAATGAAAATAAAATTCTAAAATTAAAAAAAAAAAAATTAAGGTAAACTTAAGAAAAGAATTATACAATTTCAAAATAAAATTTCAATTTAAAAAAAAAATCTGATGAAAAATTTTAACCGATTACTTATATAAATATTTTTTAAAATCAAGCGTCAAAAATTAAAATTGTCATTATTCAATTTAATAAGCAGCAAAATTAATTCAATATTTTGAGTCTTTCTACATAGCATTAATAAATGAAATTAACAGCATGTGGCATTTATTGGAATTAATTATAAAATACGGAATGCATAAAATCTCATATGCCATCTGACGAATATATATTGAATTATATCATTTAACGAGCAAATACAATTATTGCTTAAATAAATCATATAAGCGCAAATGTAAATGAAAGTTTCAATTTAATGGTTTGCCTGATTGCTTGTCGAGTGACCTTTTGAAATAATTTTAACATTTACAGTCCAAATTGCTGAATTTAACCGCGAAACTCCTGCCGCTTTATGTTTCATGACTCGACGTTTATCGCATAATTTCCATTCCTTTCCTTTTTTCTCACCCAAGGCGATGTGTCCGCAGCCTTAGTTGAAGCTGAATCCTCTTTGCGCTCTTCGCTTTGCAGTTTTGTTGGCTTGTTAAATATTAACGCAATTTCACTTTGGCCAATTACACTGCAACCCATCCGAGTTCTCATTCGCATCCGCATCTGCATCCATATTCCCATCCATACTCCCATTCGGATTCTGTATTTGTATTTTTATGCAAATGTATGCAAGTCCACCCACTAGTACCCAGCTCAGGCCGTTTCTCAAAACGCATTGCTCTTCCATTTAAAGAATGGAGGGTAAAGTTTTTATTGCTATATTTTTTTTATTCGTTTACGAACCGCATTCGCAATCGATAAGCAAAGGTTGCTCGTTAAATTCGCCAAAAGCATACCATTTTTATGCAAATTCGAATATCTTGTTCGTTTCTAATTTTTGTGTGCCCATTTATTTATTTAGCGCACCTGAGGTAGGTCATCCCTGTCGAACGGTCAAGTCAATAATCCGAACAGACTTATTTGACAGCAACCAAGTCGACCAGCCCATCAACAACGTTTTCTCGTCTATTCATGTGCAAACATGAATCGGAGCTTGTGCACGGGTTCGCCGTTTGAAAGGTTAAAGTCCGCCAAAGAATTTCAAAGGCAATACAAACAACGAATCGATATTTAATTTTCGCTTTCACATAAAATTATTTTAAAATTCAATTGATGTTTGGCTTTGATTTAAATTAAATTTCAAATCGCAACTGAACTGTACTATTGAACGACTTCGATTAATTTCGTCACAATGCGATATATCGATAAGTCTTTACGCTAGCGATCAGCTGTGATCTGGTCTTCTATTAAAAATACCACACAAAAAATACCAAACAGATGTTTGTTGTTGTTTCCGTTTGTTTTCGTCGACTAGTGGACTTTGCCTTGCATCGCGCTTTGTTTTCAATTGCCGGCGTTAATTGTGAATAATGTTTAGATTAAAAGTAAATAAAAGTCGATTTGCCGCTGCTGCGGCTGCAACGCGCCATGCCACGACAACCACAACGCATGGTAATCATTACCAATACCTGCAAAACTCGAAGCTGCCAACGCTCTACTTTCAACGTTCTCTACCTCGGTTGCCTATACCGCTGCTGGAAAAAACCTGCGAACGGTTTCTGGCCTCCGTGCAGCCCATACTCAGCGCTGAAGAGCATCGAGAGACGCAACAAGTGGTCGAGCAGTTTCGCCAGGGCATCGGTATGGAGCTGCATGCGAAACTGAAGCAGAGGGATGCAGCCAACAAGCACACCAGCTACATCTCACAGCCCTGGTTCGACATGTACCTAGCTGATCGGGTACCACTGCCGCTCAACTACAATCCGCTATTGGTTATGAGAGGTGACCCCCGGCCTGAATACCAACCACAGGTGACGCGTGCCACAAATTTGATCATTAGCTCTCTTCGCTTCTGGCGGTCGCTGCAAGCTAATATTCTTGAGCCCGAGGTTTATCACATGAATGCGAAGAAGAGCGACACGGCCAGCTACCGTCGCTGGATGGCCGTCGCTCCCAAAGCCTTTGCCACATACGCTTCGTATGCCTTCAAAGCCTTTCCCCTGGACATGAGTCAATACAGTCGTCTATTTGGCACCAGTCGCATACCAAAGCTGGGCAAGGATGAGTTAGTGCAATCGCCGCAATCGAAGCACATTCTTGTCATGCGACGCGGCAACATGTATGCTATGAATGTACTCGACACCAGCGGCTACATTGAGAGCCCCAGCGTTATACTGGGTCGTTTAAAATACATTCTTGAAACGGATTCGCAACGCGAGCCAGCCAGCGTCCCATTAGGCGTGCTAACCACCTCGCAACGTGATGAATGGGCCAAGACAAGAGCACATATCATAAGCAATCCTAAGAATGCCGATCTTCTACAGCGCGAGGTGGACGCGGCTTTGTTCTGTTTATGTCTGGACTCTGAAGAAGATGGTCTCTTTAATGAGTCTGACCCAGTGCCCATGCTGAAACATCAGCTCGCGGGCAAGGCAACGAATCGGTAAATATTTAGTTGACACTGCGCGACGAAATCATGAAATCATATTTCTCCTCTTATTGCAGGTGGTTTGACAAATCCATATCACTGCTGATTAGCGCCGACGGCGTCACGGCCATAAATTTTGAACACTCTTGGGGTGATGGTGTCGCTGTGCTCCGCTACTTCAATGAGGTCTACAGAGACATGCTAAATCAGCCATTTGTTTCGGAGTCCACGCCCCATACACCAGCTAATGGTGATTGTACGAATGTCCGTCCGCTCAACTTTGAAATCGATAACGGAACTCAAGCAGCAGTGGAAGCAGCTTATGTCCAAAACGCAAGCATCGTTGATAGTTTGGACATGAATTATTTGCAATACAAATTACTTAATAAAGGCACGTGCAAGCGACACGGTCTGAGTCCCGATTCCATAATACAGCTTGCTTTTCAACTGGCCTATCGTCAAGCATTTGAACGTTATGTGGGAACCTACGAATCCTGCAGCACATCAGCCTTTCGCCATGGCCGCACCGAGACAATGCGGCCCTGCACAATGGCTACCAAAGCATTTTGTGAGGCTGTACTGCAGCCAACGCAAAAGCAGCCCAGCGCCGGGGAGCTGCGCGCCATGATTGATAGATGCAGTAGCGTGCATGGCCAACTTACGAAGGAAGCGGCAATGGGTCAGGGCTTTGATCGTCATTTGTTTGCTTTAAGGCACACAGCACAGCTGGAGGGGCTGTCGCAGCCGGCGCTATTTGAGACTGAAGCTTATAAACGCATCAACAATAACATAATTAGCACCTCCACGCTGGGCACTGATACCGTTGTAGCCGGTTCATTCGGTCCAGTTGTCAAGGATGGCTTGGGCGTTGGGTTCGTACATACACACATTTCGTTTGCAACTGTACTTTCAACAGCTTTTCCCTTTCGCAGATACTCCATTCAAAACGATTTTGCTGGCGCAATTGTAACCTCGTATAAGAATCAGGCTGAAGGCAAGAAATTTATAGATAGTCTGGAATCAGCATTCGATCAAATATGTGCTATCATTGAGCGCAGTAGCTTGTCTGCCAAAGCCGAGCTAAAGAATTAAAAACTAAAGAATATAAAAGATGCTAGATGTGAGTCCTGAAAGCCAATTCAAAAAGGAATGTTTATTGATATTTAGATGGTTGCTAAAAAAGGTTTAATTTGTATTTTTATAGTGTCAACAAGGTTTTTGGTTTGCAATACCTTATTCCAAGCTAAACAATTTCATTGGTTAAAGCAAAAAGAGCATGTAAATTTGCATTTGAGTATAAACATTTTTTATGTACGTAGATTAATTTAATTTATTTTGGTCGGCAATTTATAAATAAACCTGTTTCTATTCTGAGTTAGATATTCGCTTTAATTAGAGCATTTGTCGCAGATATTTAGTATGCAAAACTTTCCCGTCTGCAATTTCCTTTTCTTGTTTCATCAAGCCCTAGCTCAGCGGCCAACACCTTCATTTGCCATGCAAAAACACAAAGTGGAAGCGGTCGCTGATTGGGGCTCTGACGAAAGCTAAAAACCCAAAACTTGTGACAACTGTCAAGTTGCCATCTGATTTGTACCCATTCCGAAGCTATTCTACACATCCGACTGTATTTTCCGACAAAGTTTATCAAAATATTGCTGTTAGCAACCGCAATGAACCCGACCCCTATCACGACGTCAACCCCAGCCCTGGGGCCAGGCACCGTGCCACCTTTTGCTACCATGTCGCTGTCGTTAAATGTGCTGACATTATCAGTTGATTTATCGCCAATTTTGTTGCCAACTGCCTTTCACGCAAACGCATATAAATATGCCGCGGAAAATACATAAACAAAATTTGCTCATGGGGTAACACGATGGCCAACATTTTTTATGCCACGACTGTTGCTGGGTCTAAAGACCTGTGGATGGGGACGGGCAATTCTCTAGCGGAGCAACCTACTTTGAAGGCGTAGTTAAAATTAATTAACTCGCTTAACTGTTGACTGCTTTTGCTTTTTTCTTATACTCTTTTCTCAAATGCTAGATGAGTATATGCGTGTGTGCATCTTGTTACGTTACTCCGACAGTCTCCATGCAAACCAAATTTTAATTACAGTTAGGAAATAGTTTTGATGTGTTCACTACTACACATAAATAGACACAACTCCTTCTAATAAGCTTACTGCTGTTTATAATTCGAACAAACTTTTCTGCTATGAATATATTCCAACAAAGTTTTTACTTATTTTTATATAATTTGTATAGTAATCGGAAAGCTAGTTATACATAATATAACTCTTTCAAAAAGGGGGTCTTCATTCAGTTTCTGTGCAAAAATTATATTCTAGAACATAAGCAAATGAATCTAAAATCAGTTTTCTGATCTCAATTTTCACAAGGGTATTATCTTTCGACATCAGAATTTCTCTATTTCTTTTGTGAGTTAATTTTGCTTGTAATTTACAGTTGATGTATGACAAGAGTATTTCATGGTGCTTTTTCACGAACTTTAATGAGAAACATTTAAGATACGCCAGCTGCTAGCAGGGGTAACGAAGGGATATAAAACTGGCTGCTACTGCAAGTCATTAAAATGACACTTCCCCTCGGCGGCGTGTGTTTGTGTGTGTGGCAACAATTAAAAACGCATTAAAGTGCCGCACCATCAGCATCAGCTGGCCAAGTAGCTGGGCTGAAGAACTGTCGACACACACACATTTGGATGTGTAAGTGTAAGTGTAAGTGTGTGAGTGTCTGTGTGTGTGTATGATAAATGTGCGGCCGCCCATTGGATTTTATATAACGCATTAAATTATTCAAAATGAGTGCGGCCTCTACGCCGGTCTGTCCAACCGTCCGCCAGGCCAAGACAAGCTGGCGCCATAGTTTTGTTACGAGTTAAGCGGCTGCAGGCAGTTCATAACGCATACGACATGTGGTCCATAATAAAAAGTCGTAACGTGCTCGGTTTCGCTGATGAGTTGACTCGCGTGTGAATGAGGTAGATGCATGTTGTTGCCACTTGATCTGGCACATAAATACACACGGCGAACGCATGCCCTTTAATCAATAAGCTTGTCCATAATTGAATATTAATTTCCAATTTTATACCCAACAGCGCGAACATCACGCTTGTGCGTCTCATTAGCTAAGGGAGAAGCGGGACTCCTTAAAATCTGTGGCAGCTACGCAAAACTTTTCTGCCTTTGCCACGGCTGATTTATGTTTTTGGCATTTCCCCTGTGTGTGCGGGTGTGGGGGGTGTGTGTTTGTGTGTGTCTGCGCGCATTGTTTGGCAATTTAAACACTTGACGCCTAAGCTCGCTCCTCAATTTGTGCCTGCCACCGCCACAGACTCCAACGAGAATTGGCCAACGGACCGCAAAAGCCGCAAACCACATTTCTACGACTTTTAGTATACTCATGTTTTTATATTCGTTAATGAAGTGAGAAGAGTATATTGGTTGTGTGCAATGTCCGTAGCTAGAGGCATGTTTTAAAGGTGCATTACTAAAGACCTCCTACTCAGACAGACCTTTAAATTGATATCCCTTCGAGAAATGAACGAGTATTATAAAGTCGATCAATGAAAACTACAATGTTCTTACTTGCTTTTTTAGCTTGACACTACGTATGCGTAATGTTGTGAATCTGGAATCAGAAAGAAGTTGTGCGCACAAAGCAATGGCCAATTAATATGAAAATCAGTGAGGTCATTTATTTGACCACATAAATTAAGTGCTTATTTTCACCCTGTCCCTGCCCGCAATTAATTGCCTGGATATGTGCCGCACGTGGCAAGTAAACTTCGACCCACACCGAACGCAGGATCCAACGCCAGGCGCTTCCCCACAAATTATGTTAATTACACACCAAATTGTGTATGCACTTCACACACACACACACACCACAACTTAGTTTAGACACATGGCAACAAGTTTTAGCAGAGAAATTTCGCCTTATTTCCAAGCTTCAAGATGCGTTAGACGAACATCGTTGCATACTTTCGTGCGCCTGTGAGCGTAAAGTCGAGCAAGAAAACATTTTGATAGAATCAAATGATCATTCATATCTAACAGAAAATTCAAAGGAGTTGATAAGACCTTAAAATTTAAAAATATATGCTTCCCTTCTTTCGCTTTCCCTTGAATAGCAGGAATACTCTGACGTGCATTGTTGATACTTTGGGATCAACTTATTAAAATAATCATTGCTAGGATAGTAAAAAATTCCATTGTCAGATTTTATTACTTTTTGAGCAAACCTTATTCTAGGATAAACATAGAGACCATGCTTTGTACCAGATGCTAAATTAACATTTAGCAGATGCCACTGTCAAAAAGTAAAACTTGTTCAAACCGAAAAATAACACGTGTGCCTCGCGGGCGGGTGCTTCCAGGCATGTCCTTATACAATTAACATTAAATTTATGAGCCATTCAAGGCAAATGTCTGCACTTAGCACCCAGAAAACACAGTTCACATTTTAGTTAATTGATATGGCCCGAAGCTGGCAAAACAATGCCGAAAAAAGGCAGTCGGCTAACAGTAATATAAAGTATATGGCATTTATGACATCGTGGAAAGATAAAATCAAGTAAGTAGGCTGGAGCCGGGCGTGACTAACTGCATAATACACATTCACAGCTCAAAATTAGCTATTCTTTCATTTCAAAATTAATTCAATCCAATGACCCATTTAGGTGTAGTAGGTGTTAATATATAATTTTTGTAGTTGATCTGCAGAGACTGCCAAAAATTTATATTCACCGATTTTCCACGTACCCAATTTGTGTGAATATATCTGCTATATATTTAAGTATATATAGTATATTTAAAATTTAATTCTAAATAGTCCTAAATTATTGCTTTTTTGTTTAATTTAATACGCGAATTTCGAAGAATTTCTAGCTTGAAAAGCTCGCGCAGACCATACACGGACATGGCACCAAACCAATATACTCTGCTCTCTTCGTAAAGAGCGATATAAATATTTAATCAAAGCTCATAAAGTAATTGTGTTGATTTGTTTTAATATTTTGAAGCGACAAATTGAGCGAGAGAGATAGAGAGAGAGAGAGACAGACAAGGTGAAAGCAAGACAAATAGAGCGAGGCAGAGCATCTGCCAAGTAAATGTCATACGCAGGTAATCAACCAAAATTATATTTGACCTCACGCAAGAGAGCATTAATTGTATCTAATTATTTATAAGATTAAGTAACGCAGCGGAAATGAAAGAAACGCAGACACTGAAACGAATCCCAAATGGCTGCAGACGACAAGAAAAGAAATGACTCAAACAAAATAAAACAAAACGAAACCAAAATAATATCGAGCTACAAATTGAATAGAGATTTTCGTTAAATAATTGCCGATTTATTGCGATGTCGTCAAATGCGTTAATTTCTTGGCAAAGCGCCAGCAGCAGCAATGTTGATATTTTACGGTCAAAGAGCCCAAAAAAAAGGTAAGAAAAGAATTGAACTCGAATTGGTAGGTACAATTGATTTTCAATATAATTATATATTTGTATATTCAAGATAAATTTAGATAAAAATAAATGAAATAACTTTAAGCAATTCCTTGAAGCTTTATTCAATTAGGTAAAAGACTTTACAATTTTTAACAATTATACCAGAGAAAATAATTAGTCAAAATGTCTCGCCTCTTTTGAATCGTAAGTCATATATATACACTTTCTCAATTCAAGAAGCGGGGCATATTAAATGAAAATAAAGCGAATTAAATAGACTGCTTGGCAAACAAAAAATGTTGCTGAAACATTCACAGATGTTGCCAAGACATTTGAGTTGACTCAAGCACAACATGTGTCCCAGAAACAAAAGTTGACGGCACAAAACTGAAATGTTTCTACATAATTGTTGATTAACAGGCTAATGTTGCCAAGACACTTGTTGTCTGCGTCATGTTGAAATGGACCGCGTACTTAATTCCTATTTACCTAAAGCTTCATTAACATGTATGTTGTAAACGTGTGTATGTACGGCATTGTTGAATTACTAGAGTGTGGGCATGACAATGCGCTTTGTATCTTCTGTCGTGACTTATCTGCACAATAACGAGACCTAAAGAACGAGAGAATAGCTACGGAGCACATTGGCGATTAACTCAGTGCAGCTCGAAGAACCAAGGCAATTAACTTTAACCCCAATAAGCAGCAGAGATTTAACTGTGCTGTATCTATTGTGCGTGGTGCACATGTCGCATACGTGCTTAGTGTTGTCGTTGTATTCTCTCATGCCAAACGTTTTTAAAGACACCCTCACGTCATCTGCTGCTTGCCATTTTCATTTGGGTGTTCCGCAAGCAAG